CCGTGCTAATCCTGTGCACTTTCTTCGGATGCCTCTCCGTGGAGGCGGCGGAGGTCTCTTTCTTCGCGGACCTCACGTGCTTTCCACCTTTGCGCCCTTTCGACCCACCAAACATGCGTCCTCCGAATGCCTCCTCCTCCTCCTCCTTCTTCGTGGGTGTTGCCCTTTATTGTTGCTAGCCGCTTCCCCCCCCGTCAACTGCACAGAAACGACACCTCAACACTTTACACTCCTCTCACCAAAACAGAAAGAAAAAAACATTTGAAAAAGGAGAACTGAAAAAACACGGACATGATGCTCGCAATGGAGTCCTTTGAACACCCACATGCCCACACACGCACTCCCTGACAAGCCCCCAATGCGGCAGATCATAGGCCATGCATACATTGTACAACACGCTGCTCCAATTGCACGCTAAACCTTAGTTTTGTCTATGGGGTGAGAAAATTCGCTGCCGACACACACATACGCACAAAATACAAAAAGAAGAGAGAGAATTGGTCAGTTCCCTCCTCCTCCTTCCCCTTTTGCCCTTCTTCTCGTTTAGCATGACAAATAAATAAATAAATATATAAATAAATATATATATATATATGACTGATACAAGAACAACAACAACGACAACAAAAAATGGCAACTACATTCAATGAGAGGTCATGTAATTTCCTTCATTATGAAATTATCCAATACTGCTTAAAAATAATGAATCTCAATGAGAGCTTATCAAACATAAATACTCTCAGCCATCATCTTATGTATGTACTCTCGTATGCACATATGCACCCCCCCCCCCCCCCCCGCAGGGAAAATTCCCACCTCCACCATCTCATTTTTACAGCTAACGGCTATTCATCAACTCAACAAGCCCTGATGGGTTGTACTGGAAACAAAGCGCTCATCATCGCCACCACGGTGCGATACAGAACGCACTACAGATGTACATTTTTCGAGGAATTCGTCGCGGTTGCATGTGATTTTCCGAAACACCTCCGCCGCAGATTGATGAAAATCACGAAGAATCTGTTCGTGCTGCAGAACCCTTTCGTCTATATTATCTAGCTGAGGTGGCCGAGATGAAGCAGGAAGCGTTGTTTGCGTGGCATCCCAGCGATTGCCAGTGTCTCCCGATGGGGGATCTACGGTCTCAATCACCTCACTTCGGCTACTACACAATGGTGAGCTTCGAGAGATATTAGAAATAGATCCTACAGAGTCCCATCCTGTTTGAGCCATTTTGGAGCTTTGTGGTGTCATGGCACTCCTTTCCCTTAAGCGCTCGTATGAGTGTGGGGGAAGCGGCAAAACTGCTTTTGGCACACGTTGATCTTTTGGTGTTGTTGTTTCAGAAACCTGTACAGTATAAGGCTCAGCCCCAAGAAAGCCCTTTCCTCCATCGTATGAAGGAGATGTGGAGGGCGGCGGAGCAGATGTTCGACTCAGAGAACGCGGGGCAAAGGGCGCGCGCTGCTGCTCCCGCCGAATCTCGCGTAGTGCGGCTTCCTTCGCCACCTTCGCCCTTTGTTTGTACCGATTAAATTGCTCCTCAAGGTGGGCTCGCTTGCTGCGCTCGTCTTCAAGTTGATTGCGTAGCCGCTGAATAGGCTCCGATGCCGTCGTGGCAAGCGCCTCTAACTTCGCGTCCTTCTCACGCAGCTGCCGTCTCAAGCTGGACAGCACACCTTCCGTCTGCTGCTGGTGTGCAGATGCCGCACGACGTGTACTGGAAAGGTCCTCCTGGTGCCGCAGCGCGCTTTGCTCCATTTTCAACAGCAGTTGCTTGCTGTGCGCCTGCTCCTCTTTCAGCTGGTCACTTAAACCCTCCACCTCGCGTTCCAGACGCACCGTGCGGTCTTCTGCATGACGTAAGGCCTGTTGCAGCGCTTCAACTTCACGACAATATTTTTGCTCTTCCTCTTGCAGTTGTTGTGTGATGCCCTCCACAATTTTTTGATGCCCTGCACGTTCCTCACGCATTTCGTGTTCCTTCCGTGCAATCTGAAGGCGGAGTTGCTCCAGCTCCTGCTGCAGGAATTCCAGACGCTCGGTCAACTGTTTTTTCTCCTCCTGCACGGAAGTCAATTTTAATGCCAATTCCTCTTGTTGTTCCTTCTGCTGCCGGCGCTGTTCCTTCAGCGCGTGGTACTTTCGCTCCACCTTCTCCAGTGCAGTTAATTTTTCGGTTGCCTCGCCAATCAGATCCTGATAGCTCTTAGTGGTTAGATGGAACTCCGCTTCCAGCCGGCGAAGTTCCTCCCGTGAGCGCTGGTCCTGCTCCCGCAGCTGTAATTCCAAACGGCTCACCAAATCCAACGCATCCTTCTCACGCATCGTCATCATTTTCTCACGCTTCCTGCTCTCCACCAAGTCTCCTTTGCGCTTCGCCAATTCTTCTTCCAGCTCGGCCAGCCGCTTTCGTGTACCCGTCAAAGACTCACGTAGATCTGCCAATTGCCTCTTCTTTGCGTCCACATCGCCCTGCAAAGATTGGCGCTGGGAAGTGGCAGCCTCCAACTCTACTTTTAGTTTCTCAATAGCCTTCTCCCTTTCTTCCACTGTCTTTCGCGCTTCATCTGCCTGCAAACGCTCTTCCTCAACTGCGACCTGAAGCAACTTCTGCTTCACGTTAAAGGATGCCTGAAGTTGCGTCGTGACCTCCTCTTCAGATTTCTGCCGCGCCTCCAAGGACTCGTGACGAAGCCGGGAAAGTTCCCGATTGTGCTCCATGCGGATACGCGAAAGCTCCTCACGGTGGGATGCTTCCTGTTCCGCCAACTGGCGCCGCAAACGTTCCAAAGCCGCACTCGTTTGTGTCGATATGAATGCATGAGCGTCGTGCTGTCGTCTTGTCTCTGTGGCCTCCAGTGACAGCGAGGTTTCATGCGGGAGATTCGCTACCGGCCCTCTTTGCTCTGTGTGCGTGTTTTCGTATGGTGCGGCAGAAGCCTCAGTGCCCGCTGGTGTTGGGGTATTCGTATTATTTGCCGCCGCACCGGAGAGAAGAGATCTAAAGGTGTCTTTCCACCGTTGGCCAATCTGAGAGGCATTATTATCCTCCGTACAGGTGGTAGAAGTGTTCACGGTGCCTTTTACCGAGACATTTTGGCCGCTTCTTGCTGCTCCTTGCGTCGAATGGGCTAAAAGCGTACGAGATGGGGCATCCGATGACAGCGTCGTATTAGTTGTGGAGGTGCCAGAACGCCCATCCGCAGCAACGCCCATCGATAACGTCTGCACACGACTCCACGGCCACCGCCGCGCCCCGTTTGTCCCGCTGCTCTCCGCACTCGTGTCTTTATTATTCGGTTCACGGCGGTGTTGTTGAAACGGCCTCCCGTTTTCACTTTGATGACAGTAATGTGGCGGCCTGTCCTCGTGTACCGCTGCTGTCGTTGTGCGTGGCAACAAGGATGATGATAATCCGGCTGCCCTCTTTTTTCCCATGACAGGCGGAACGGCTGCGCCACCGCCTGCTCGTGCCGTCCCGGCCAATTCCTCTGTGTGTTGCACGCCACGTGCGCTTGCGCGTCCATCATCTACAAACGCCTTCCGCTCTCTCGACTCACCCAAAGTTTCCCTGCGCCGCGTCGTTTCGTACAGACGCTGCACCCCTCGTGTTGTGTGATCAATCAGCTCAAGAAGATCGCTCGGAAGATCCTTCTCGTACGAGGAAAGTGAGGCTTTCATCGTCTAAACGCCAACTCAAAGTAAAAAAGAGTGGCAGTCGCAAGGGAACCCAGCCAGTCCGCCGCGGTGCTGCCACTAGTCGTGCGACAAAAGGGAGAGGACAAAAAAAAAAAAAAAAAAAAAAAAGGAGAGGAAGACACCTCGTCCTTTTATGAGAACAGAAATCTACAAATGTACTGTCATTCGGTTTTTTTTTTTTTTTTTTTTTTAGATCCGAGAAACGTGCGTGCAAGAGATAAAAAAAGAGAAAGTAAATGAACCAAATATATAAAACAACAACTTTTTCACACCACTGCACCGCAGGCACAAGAAATAAATAGTTGCATCAACGTCAACGCCAGGAAATAAACAAACAAACAAAAGGCATACACCAATAAGGCAACAAAGTGAGGAAAAGAAAAAGAGAGAGTTGAGAACATTACAGTTCGACCACGTCCTCACTCCCCAACTGCAGTAGCTCTGACCACTCCGCAGGTGCAAGACGCCTCACCCTACATGTGCATTCACAAGGATGCCTTCTCACCTTCTGATATGTTTGCGGCATCTTGGGCGTGGTGCACAGATTCTCGTGATTGGGGAATAGTATGTCCTCCCCAACACATCCTCCACACGTAACGGAGCCACATGCCCGTTGAGTCCGAATACTTCCCAATTTTGTACCCGTCATTCCGTTTCGCTCCGCTGAAGCCGTTCTATGCGCCGCGCCACCGACAGGGGGACCTTGACGGAAAGGGTTCAAACGCCGTATAAGTTCCATGCGGATTTGGAGATGTTCTTCCCACAAGCCCACGTCTTCTAGAGAAGGATCATTAATGCCTGAAGCACATGAGTCACTGCTCGTCACTTCACTTCCTTCCCATGACGAAACAGTTTCCCAGACAACAGCAACTTGCTCCTTAGCAGTGTTCATCGTAGTCTTCCAAAGACTTGTGGCTTCACGAGGAACGCGGCGGTAGGCTCCGAGTGGTAGGAAAGACCCCTTCAGCCCTCCGCTCCCGGTGCTGTTCCCCCCGCGGCATTGCATTCCACAGAGAGGACTGGCCTTTCACCCTGTGACACTATCAGTCGCCGTCTCACCCCGTTTACTTCTGTACCTTAAAACAACAACAAAAAAGATTACTGTGCTCCATTCAAGAACCACACATGCACAAAACGAGAACGGGGAGAGCACACACACAGACATAAAAAAAAAAAAAAAAAAAAAACAACAACCCACAAGAGAAAAGAAAATGACGGGTGAATGCACGAAAGGGCTCTTCCTCCCTATTTAACAAGTATGCGTCAACGACAGACAAAAAAACACTCCAATCGGATGCTTAGCGGTCCTGCATCTCCCCGCCAAAGGGCACGGAGGCGTCGAAGCCAAAGTGAACCATGTGGCAATTCCGTAATTCACGGTTTCGGTTCCGTTTGCGACGAATCCTTCTTGCCACCTCCGCGGCATGCTGCTCCTGTAGCGTTTTCCTTACAACCCTCAATGCAGCCTCGTCCTTTTGGTGTGGAATCCACACGGTTCGTGAGGCGGCACCCATCGTCTCGCTATCAGGAATCGTAAGATCGCGTACCTTAAGAACCGCAGGGGAGGGATTTAACCACCACGCGAGCACCGTCCCCGCCAATTTTCTCCCTTCTCCCCTAAACTCCTCACCTTCTCCGCCCTGCCCCGCGATCCTACCATCCCACAATGCAGGGTCATGAATACAAATGTCATCGGGTACCGGGAGCGCAGGTAGCGTTTCTCTCCCAATCATCACACCCGGCATTGACGTAATCTCGTCAATGACTTCCACGGGAACAATCGTTTCCATTTCATCCACAAATACGGAGACTGCCACGTTTCCCTTGGCCTGGGCCCGTACGTCCATGAAACTCCTTTGAGTCCCACCTGATCTCCTGGACGCTTTCACGCGCACGTCAACAGGCAAGGCAACGCCCAAGTTTTTCCTGGGTTTACCTAGTGAGACTCTCAAAGCCGGGGCTTCAACAGAGATGGAAGAGTCATGACTCGGAGACAAAACCCGGTCGAATATCACCAAGACACGCTCGCCCACATGGAGGCAAGTAGGAATGCTGTTTTTACCTCGCACCGGTACCCCACGACGTGTGTACAACATTGACTGAGCCACCACACCAACGGGAAGTTCCAACTGCCCTGCTGTGCCATCCGTGCCCAGAACAGCATCAGCCTCATCATCGCAAAGAAACACGTTCAGCGATTCGCCCCTTTTAAAGGGGCTTCGAAGCCCTTTAACTAATCGGTACTCGTAAGCTTTCATGTAGTGATCTGGAAGGTAATAAAGCAGACCCCGTTGTTGGGACTCCTTTAGAAGCTTCTCCTGTAAGATTACTTGATTCGTGTGAAGAGCTACGCATCCTTCTCTATCTGGGACTTTAGCAGGAGACAGCAGCAACCTTTCAAGCTCCTCAAGACGATGCAACTCTGGCCGTCGGCAGACAAGAACAAGCTCCTTCTTTTTAGACCGCACATTCCTCACCGCTCTGTCATCCGTCAAACCTACATCCGGGACATCGACGTTGCGGTGGAACACTTCAATACACTGATTGCCGCAGCGTCCGGCTTCCATGTACTCTCGCCACGCCTCCGGAAAGCGTTGCAGCGAGGCTCCCCGTGGAATCAAAAAATCCAGCTGCGTCAGAGTGTACTCCACATTCGCATGTGACAACAGAAACTGAATAACTTCATAATGTTTTGAAATCTGGGCTGTGTTAAGAATTTCACCCAACTCACTCATCGTGGGTAGTTCACACAAGCCCCTCTTTTCCACCGCCGCTTTCTCGCTCACACACGCAAAAAGGGATATATTCACCTGGGCCGCTGGCCGAATCCTGAATTTATCACTAATAGAAAACAAACAAGATAGAAATAAAGAAGGGATAAATGGAATAAGAATGGATTCACCATATCCTCAATGTTTAACTCCAATTAAGTGCACAAATATATACATCATCCGATAGCAACAATCGTGGCCGCTCGCTCTATTCGGATATGATACATATATATATTGCGAGTTGGCAGACTTTGGGGTCCACCAACCACAAGACCCCGCCGCTCCCCTTCGCAATTTCCACCCCTTCGCCAAGCCCTGAAGCGTAAACACACGACCGCGTGATATGCCGTCTGCGGGGTTGTCTGCAGACCGTACGTATGCAAAGGATGCATGTATTCCGCGTAAGTCCAAAAACCTATATATCCGTTGCAGCTCCCACGTCATGGCGTGCGATTTCGAGCTGCCTTTATTCGCCGCTCCTTGCAGCGAATTATTGCCCACCCAAACGTCCATGGTGGATGGCAAGATGGCGGAAAAGGCCGATAAGGCTAAGCGTACCGCGCGTGCCTCGGCCTGCATGATAAGAAAAGGCTTCTTCTCCCATTTTCCTCCGGCAATTTTAACGTCGCCGGAGTCTGGAATGAAAACGGCCCTCATCCATGGAGCGATGCATCCGTGATGATGGCGGCCGATGCCTTTTCCGTGGGCTTAGATGATTCGCCGACGATTATTCTCGATGATGTGTCGTAATCTCTCGCCCAAACCAACCGCTGACGGCGGAAGGTTCGCCGGGGATGTCTTCAGCACAATCCCCGGTTAAGTGCGGACAATCGTCGTCGCACTGCTTTGATGAAAAAGTAGTGGTCGCATAAATGCGTGCCCAAAATGGCAGCCGCGTACAAAAAGCGGGACGCCACAAACTCCATTCCGCGATGGTTAAAGAATTGAGCGTCGGCATGGCGCATAAAGACCGGACAAACTTGTCACTCAGGGATACCGTCTGGTGAGCATGATCAAACTGCACCCCCAGGAAGGTGTACTGCGTAGCGCCCGATTCGCGATCCTCCCCCATGGATGCGTGACAACTGTCCGCATTACGAAGTACTTGGGCTTCCCACAATGTCGCATCGCTTCTCGACACTGCAATGCGTATATCATCGATCCAAACGTCGACACGCACCAATGGAGGTGCAGCCCGGAGACGGCGAACCACCGTCATCACCCCGCAATTGCTGAAGTAATAATAATCTGGAGAATTTCTGGGCTGGCCTTGTATCCCATTGGGAGCCGTGTCAGCTCCACCAGCGTGCCGTTCTCCACGCGGCATCTCTTTCGATCCCAAGTCTCCCGCGGTAAAGAGACTTGAAAAAAGGATGCCTTTAAGTCCAGGCAGGAAGCGGCCTCAGCCATCACAGGCGGCAAATAATGGGAAATATGTAAAAGAGGAACATTCGCCTCATAAGGGTCGTCGCTCTTCTTGTCGCGTGACCACGCGATCCATCGTCGTCGTAAACCGGTGGTTTTCTCCTCCACAACCGAGAAGGGTATTATCCATCCGCCTGTTATTGTGGACAAAGCGTCCTCGATTATTCCCGCTGTTCGTAACAAACGCGCATCAGCGGTTGGAATCCTCCGTGAGCCTTCGCGCGCTTTACCGGAGGAAGACGGAGGGAAAGGGGACCGCCCGACGAGTCCCCAAACTTGCATGAGCCTCTCCAAGGTAGCCGGGTTCAACCGGCCATTGATCCACTTTGGTATTCAATACGGGCACGTTGACTCGCTTTAACGGGATAGCGTGTTCATCTTGTAGAGTGGCCAGACACGTCCTTGTCGCGCGTCTCGTTATTGTAGCGGATTGAGGATGAAAATCATGCAAAAAACGCTCCTCTGCTTTCAACCACGGTTCCTGCCCTTCCGCAGTTTCTCCCTTCACATCAATGCGACCAGCGGCGACACCTGGGTCAGCATTGTGGTGCACTTCCCCAGATATCGAACAGTATTCTGGGGAAGTTCGAACGGTTTGACGTGCTTCGCCAACTGCGAGATCACGTGTGGATCCAAATTGTACGCCTCCACGGTTTGAGCAGCGTGCCGCTGCGCACCCTGTTTTGTGGAGTGCGCCGTGGCATTCCAAGGAACCAGAACTCGTTCGACTTTGGCAGTCGTCAGATTCGTGAGCTTTTCGTTTTCTTGAAGTGTCCTGCATAAGTTTATAGTGTCGAAGGCGTCCTGCCCTCGTATCCTCACGAACCGCGAGGCGCGGTGGGGATCCGCCCTCGCCGTCCTTGGCGCCACGGACCAATCCAAAATTAAGGTCCCGTTCGGCTCCAGTGTGGAATTTTTGGGAGTCAAGGACGCAATCTCGGACCAACGACTCGCCGTTATCCACGCAAGTCGTAAAACAACACGTTCCTTCCAATCGGTCCGGCTGCGAATAACTTGATTCATCTATTCCTCTGTCAAGGGGCGTGCCTGCTTCGTCTCCGAGCGCGCCGCAATCTTTTGTATCCCCAGAATCATCATGTCCAGCGGGGTTCGATTCATTTCCAACATAGACCGCAGCATCCTGGCGTACTGCAGTCAGGTCGATGGCGCTACATCGATTGCCATCAAAAGGCAGCGCAGCTCTCCTCGTTCATCGGCTGTTCGTGCGTGCGGCATAAGGTTGTGAATTGCCCCGCTAGAGACATTCTCTGCTCCCACGTTGACGGCGTCCACATTTATCGAGCCACCTCGTTCGCGCTCCTCATATAATTGGCCCAAAGCGGGGATGTCGGTGTTTCGTCCTACCACAATCGAGCGTCGTTTACGGATAAGCTCCATTGCCCTTCCCGACGATTGCGTGGGGCAATTTGTAATATCGGGTGGAGCGTCGGCGGCGCGGTGCGACGCCTGTGCGTAATAGCCGGGGGTGGCGGATTGGATGGGGCTGCCGTCGTCCGCCTTAATAAGCGGCGGGCAGCCCCTCGCCGTTTTTTTGACGTTCGTTTGTAGTTCGGGAAAACCCTTTTGGGACGCACGTTGCATGTAGAAGCGTAGTTTCCATAAATAAGGCAAAGTTGGCATAGCAGCGATCGTTGTTGTTGCGGTCGGGTTCCCCGTCGATCCATGAGAGGCCGAGCCACCCTCGCGAAGGTGTCATTCTTATAAAAAGCCGTATGAAAGCGGGCACGCAGCTTTTTGGGTCGGCACACTGGGATCGGATTTAATCATGATCTGCATCCAAAAGACCTGCAGTACAATCCTGCCCAATTCCATGAACTGCTTGTTGGGCTCCCGATACAACTGCAATGCGCACATCCACAAATTCAGAATGTCAAAGGCAATTTAGGCGTGAGCGTTCCCTTTCGTACCAGTAATCGTAAGCGCTCCGGAGTTCAAATAGGAATCCAAGTACGCCTTCATTTCAAATTCGCGGGACCCAAGTGTCGAAGTCAACCTGAAGGAAATCCAGATCCTCTTCATTTGAACCGAAAACTTCTTCTGAAAATGAGGATCGGAAGGGCGAAGTCACGGGGTGAGGGAGACGTGGCCGTCCCACAAATTGCCCAATAACGCATGAGTATTGACCCGCCGTCGCTCTCCCGTGAAAATGGCTCGGGGAATTGTGGATGCTGGCACGCCCTCGGCCATCAAACGCTCGTGGTGGGGTGGTGTCGTTGCGCCATCTTCGGACCCGTGCGCGGGTGCATCTGGCGGCCCTCTCCTGGAAGAGGGAACTCCTCACTGTCCGGGCGCGTCGCCGCTTCCAAGGCACTGATGCGTGCCTCTCGTTCCCGGAGTTTTGCCTGGAGTTGGGCAAGGGTTGTCTCCGAATGGCGTTCGCGCCCTGCAAGCGCCGATTCTCTTTGCGCAAGAAGACCGTCTGCCACCGCGGCGTTGGATGCACGCACTGAGAAGTATTTATCCTTTCCGTGCAGCTGAAAGTAAAGCTAAGCATTCCAATTCTACACGTCCGCGACGGCGTGGACAGAGTCCGAGTTTTATCTTTGCCTTTCCGCAATGATCAGCCCTTGTTAAACCCCCAACTCACGGGCTCTCTCCAAATGATGGGCAAGAGCAATTGAGTCTCAAAATTTGTTACTTGACACGCCCGGAGATCCCCAACGTGCCCCGTAAGGGTTGAATCCACCCAAAGCTTGTCAGTGTTTCCTGAAATCAATCGTAAGCCACTTATGGTAGGACTGACAGTCACCATAGATTCCAACTGTCCCTTTTCATCCATGTAGGTGAGTTGCACCTGTGTATCGCCATGCTGACGTAACAGATCTGCCATACAATTACCAGTGAGGCTCCATTCCGTTGCCGTGTAAAAGGAACCACCGCCATTTCTTTATATGAGCTTGCAGGAACCAGGCTTGGCTGTAAAAATAAAAGTAAAATAAGTAAACTCATATAGGCATTATTATTTCCCTGATTCCTAGAATCGCGGTCAACCAAAGAATCACAAAGTAAATGAAAAAGGTCGTAAAGACTTCGCTTCATCAAGATATATAAATATTAAATAGCCCGCTTGCCATGCGAACAATCTCTTTAAAAGCTTCTAACAAACCAAACACACGCACAAAAAAACTGGACCATATCAACCACCGCTCAAACAACAACAACAAAAAACAAATACAAGTTCCACACACGCACAAATACTCACAAATGCCGCAGCCAACAGTGAGGCGCGATACAGCATTGGCTCTCGGGCACTTCAATTGCGACGGTCCCGCGAGCGTCAAAGCGTGGCATCCCACTCAACAGGCCCTTTCGGGAGCAGCCGCAGAGAAGAGGGGAAAGGGTGGGAGCGAGGAAGCGCCGATCATGCGGATGCTCTTCTGCATCAGTTTGCGTGCACGCTGCACATGTCTGTGGAGGACAAGTACATCCAGTTTCTAATCACTGCGCAGCTGCAAGGCCAGCCCGCACGGCGGCGGGCAAAGGGAGGCAGGGGCAATACCTACAAGAAACGAGGGCGGAAACAAAAAGGGGGTGGGGTGCAGAGAGCAGGCAGTGAGAGCATCACGACAGTCGCACAACGACACCCTTAGCAGGCACATCCAAACCAGCCAACACAGAAGGAATAACGGCGAGTGAAGACGCAACCGGGGCAAAACCCACCCAACAGGCACAGCACGGGGAAGCCGGCAGCGGTCGCCCGTCACAACACACCCACGTCTGTCGCGATCGTGCGCTCTCCTCTCCCCGGGTCACACGGCACGGCATCCACAAACCAACGGCGACAAGAACCACAGCACCAACAGCGTTTCTCACAATTCCCCGTCCCTCGCGTCAATTCCACCCTCCCTCTGCTGTGCGGCAAAGCCTCCCACAGGGGAA